TTATGGTACGAGATATATCATGATATTGTTGAAACAGAACAATTCTCGTCCATGAAATCATCAGCCGAATTAAATAAGAAAAATATCAAGAAAGAAACTTAAAATAAAAAATAGAAACTTAATGGAGGGTGGTTATAGGACCTTATCCATATGACTTATGATTATGTGAGTTTATTTATTATCACATAAATTAAAATTGAGAGGATTGCATTTTAGTTAAGATACTGTGTCTTCAATTATTTTGTACAGTGCGGTGGGCCTTCGTCATTGACTTCTGTCGTTAATTTGCTTCTTGATATAAACTCGAATGCATAGGAGTATCCGAAACGGCTTCAAGGTGACTCTAAAGTGGCTCCAAAGTGGCCCCGAGATGGCTCCAATGTGAGGATATTGAGCTCCCGAAGTATCATTTGCACTAAGACAGATGTGGAATATTTTTTTTTACCCTATTTGTCTGACGTTCAAGTTAGTCAGTGAGAACGTAATGAGTATTAGTTTTTCGAAAAAAGTGCCTCTCGACGTAGTGCTAGGGATTATCTTTTATACCATGCCTTGAAGGGGATAACTAATAATTGCTACAATGTCCCCTTAGCATTTTGTTTACATGGGCAGCACGAGAGGGACACCCCCGAATGACCTACCTTAGACTTTTGTCCATATGGGCAGGTGGGGGTGACTTGGATCTTTCTTCTTCCACAACAGTTTCCACGTGGTGCTTACATATCAGATGATGATTGATCATTAATATATTCCCTATCATTTATCCTACCCCCTCCCCAATGTGTCTTTTGGAGCTCTTCATAGGAGGGCTTGGAGTGTTATGTTTCAATTCATTCGATAAGCCCATTACCAACATGGCCATTCATGGTGGTGTCAAAAGGACACACGTTGGTCATAAGGATTTTCTTTTAATGCAGGTCAAGTTTCCTCGACTCATACGCCTCGAGCATATTTTGCCTTGCGTCTCCGTCGTGGCAGATTTCTCTTGGCATGAGTCAGGTTTTCTAACTCACATGCCTTGGACACATTTCGCCCTACGCCTCTGTCGCGGCTGATTAATCTTAGCGTGGGTCGGGTTTTCTCAACTTATACACCTCGGACATATTTTACCCTACGACTCTACCGTGGAAGATTAATCTTGCAATGACTCAAGTTTTTTCAACTCACATGATTTAGACAAATTTTGCTATACGTCTTTTGTCATTGCAGAGTTCTCTTGGCGTGGGTCAGGTTTTCTCGACTCACATATGTATATATATACATATATATATGTATATATATACATATATATATATATATATGTGTGTATATATATGTATATATTATACATATTATATATATATATTAAAAGGAAAGAGTTAGAGAATTTTATTTCTCCAACTCTTATAAGTTCCTCCCGATCCTCTGGCCACCAATCGGTTGAGGTTGAAAGCTTCTAGGGAGGTTCTAAAGGATGAAGTCTTTGGAGACTCACATGGAAGAATTAATTTTGACCTACAAGGGAGGGTATTTAAAAGGAGGAGGTCAATCTCTCTCCTCCTACGGTTAGGACAAGTGTCAATTTGGGGGCAAATCTCATGAGACATCAATAATAAGAGGATCCAAAACCCACAATGGTGAAGAGGACTTAAAGCTCACCATGGTGGAGGGAGGACTTGAAATCTACCATGGTGAAGAGGACTTAAAGCTCACCATGGTGGAAGGAGAATCCAAAATCTACCATATTAGAAAGAAAAGATTTGAAGAATTTTATTAACCAAAGGAAATAACCCTATTAGCTCAAACCAAAAAATCTAAGTTCGGGGGAAATAAATTTATGCAAAGACCAAAAAGTTTAGTAGTGCTGATATAATTGGCCAACCAATTAGCAATATAATTTTCTTCTCGAAATATATGTATTATTTTATAATCATTTATAGCATATATCAACTTGAACATATCTCTAACATTATTTAAAATTCTCCAATGAGAAGGTGATTATTTACTAAGGATATCGGCTATCATATGGACTTCATATCTAGAGACTGTTGAATTTTGGATTTTGATGATGAAATCAATTTATGAGTTTATTGGACTAATATACTTTTCAAATAAGTAACGTAAGAAATACATCGATCATATATTTTGACCACCGAAGGGCCAACTATAGAGCAAGAGAGTCGACCATTGCATTTAAAAATTATTGTATCAAAAATTGGACGTCGAGCCAAAAGATTCATCAACATGCCAAATATCAAACTTGGGGTTCGGGTATCATACCAGAGGGATCAGATATTTCGTTGGAAGATTAGATATCGTGGAAAACTTAATATGCTGATAGAATGAGCGATATGCTAAAGAAAAGGGTAATGTGTTGGAGGTTCAGACGAAGTATTGGAAGATTATATGATATGTCAAAAGAGCATATAATGTGTCCAAAGCTTTGCAAATGTGTTAGATATGTACTTTGTTTGTCAAAGTCTTGATCAAGGTTATTTGGGTCAATTTGAGTCGGTATTACATCAAAACAATGCCAATTTATTAAGAAAGTCATTGGGCTTGAAGCTAGGCCGAACTGACCTATTAAAAGGCCAAACTGGTAGCCTAAAGCAAGCTTAGGTGGTGGTACCATTTGGCCCAAGCAATAGTACTGATTGAGTCAATCGATAAGTACTATTTGTGCTTGTCAGCTTTTATTGCTCGAAATTCAAATTTTACAATGATAGGACCGTCGGAGTCCAAAATTACGATGTTAAAAGTTACGACTATGGTATCATCTAGTGCCAACAATAGTACTACCCATACCCAAAATTTTTAAGATTTGAATTTTTTTTGCTCTATTCTTAAAACCTTTTGGAACCTATAAATACCCCACTCATGCTTAATTGATAAGTCATCAATTCTCAAGTTTATGAAGTATTATAGCTCTTTCTTTTAGCATTGTTTGACTCTCTTCCTCCCTCTTAAGTGTAGTTATGATAAAAGTGATAGGAGATGAGAGATCTTTGTAAAAGTTATACCCCACTCATGCTTTTTTCTCCGAAGCCTGTAAAAAGAAAAAAAAAATTGTAACAAAGGTAGTTGATCTTCGCCTATTAGAAAGAATATCTTTAGTAAAAGCCGATAGTCTTGAAAGAAGATAAATCAAGAGTGGATGTAGGTCGAGAAGACCGAACTACTATAAATCAGTTTTTATTCATTCTC